GCATGTCGGCGCCCAACGTTCGGGGCACTGCCTGACTACCACCTTCTTGGCGGAGCGGCGGCGCGATAGAAGGATCAGCCAGCAAGCGCCAAAAAAAAATTCACACTTCACGTTTTCGCGGGACCGAAGAATGGAACGCACGCGAATAGCGCAAGGAAAAGGGTGAGCGGAGCGGGCGTTCTTCATGACGGCCGCTGGGACCCCACGCCTTCCCAATCATTCGGCAAAACTTAAGGGATGAAGATGTGCCTTGGCCGCTGGACGGATCCTGAAATTATCCCAGCAAACCCGACGATACAGGAAGGAAAAGGAAGTCGAAGCAGACGCGGCCAATTGCCTCAATAGTTTATTCCGATTCGTTTATGTTCTTTTGACCGCTCTCTTGACGTTTTTTGCTCGAATAAGATTCAACAGGTTATTACCCACGAAGTGGCGGGCTTCGGGGTCTTCCGACCACAAGACACCGCCGCTGCCCTTCGCAAATTCCACCCTTCGCCAGGTCCCGAAGTGTAAAAGCGCGACCGCGTGACATGCCGTCCGCGGGTTTCCCGCTGGCCGCACGTAGGCAAAGGTCGTCCGTACTCCGCGAGAGTCCAAAACTCATATACCCATCGCGTTTCCCACGTCGCGGCGTGTGGGTTTGAGCTGCCTTTATTCGCCGCTCCCTGCAGCGAAGTATTATCCACCCAAACGTCCATGGTGGGTGGCAAGATGGCGGAAAAGGCCGATAAGACCAAGCGTACCGCGCGCGCCTCGGCCTGCATGATAAGAAAAGGCTTCCTCTCCTATTTCCCTCCGGCAATTTTAACGCCGCCGGAGTCTGCAATGAAAACGGCTCACCAAGCATGGAGCGATGCATCCGTGATGATGGCGGCCGATGCCTTTTCCGTGGGCTTGATGATTCGCTTACGATTATTCTCGATGATGTGTCACAATCCCTCGCCCAAGCCAATCGCTACCGGCGGAAGGTTCGCCGGGGATTTCTCCTGCACAATTCCCCGGTTAAGTGCGGACAATCGTCGTTGCACTGCCTTGATAAAAAAGTGGCAGTCACATAAACGCGTGCCAAAAATGACCGCCACGTACAAAACGCGTGACGCCTTGACCTCCATTTCCGCGATGGTTAAAAATTGAGCGCTGACATGGCGCGCACAGAGCGGACAAACTTCTCACTTAGAAATACCGCACGGTGAGTATGATCAAACCGCGCCCCCAGGAAGGTGTACTGCGTGGCGCCCGATTCGCTGTCCTTCCACATCGTGGCGTGACGGCCATCCGCATTACGAAACACTTGGGCTTCCCACAATGTCGCATCGCTTTTCGACTCTGCAGTGCGCATATTATCGATCCAAACGCCGACACGCGCCAATGGAGGTGCGTCCCAGAGGCGGTGAACCACCGTCGTCACCTCGGCAACTGCTAATAATAATCTGGAGGATTTCCGGGCCGGCCTTGTATCCCATTGGGAGCCGTGTAAGCTCCACCAGCGTGCCGTCCTCCACGCGGCATCAAAAGGGATGCCGAGTCTCCCGCGGTAAAAAGAGTTGAAAAAAGACGCCTTTAATTCCAGGCAGGAAGCGGCCTCAGCCATCACAGGCGGCAAATAATGGGAAATGCGCAAAAAAGGAACATGAGCCTCGCAAGGGTCGTGTCTGTTCTTGTCGCGCGGCCCCGCAATCCATCGTCGTCGAAAACCGGTGGGTTTCTCCTCCGCAAACAAACGAAAAGGGTATTATCCATCCACCCGTTATCGCAGAATAGGCGTCCTCAATTGTTCCCACTTAATTCAATAATCGCGCGTCGTCGACTGGAATCCTCCGTGGGCTTTCGTCTGATGTGGCGGGGGGCTGGGGAAAAGGGGACCGCCCGACGCGTCCTTGCCGCGAGTCTTGTGATTGCGGCGGGGCGATGATAAAAACCACGGAAAAACGCTCCTCTGCTGTCAGCCAGGATTCCTCCCCTTCCGCAGTTTTCCCCTCACATCAAAGCGACCAGCGACGACGCCTGAGCCGGCGTTGTGGCGCGCTTCCCCGGATATCGCGCTGTGTTCTTTGAAGAAGAACGGCTCACCGTCATCCGCGCAAGTCGGAAAGCAACCCGCCACTTCCATTCGGCCCGGCTGCGGGTAAATTGATCCGACTCTTCCTTTTTAAAGGGCGCGTCTGCTTCGTCTCCGATCGCGCCGCGATTTTTTGCAACCTCAGAACCGCCACGCCCAGCGGAGTTCGATTCATTTGCGACATGGGCCGCGGCATCCTGGCGTCCTGCGGTCGGGTCGGTGGCGCCGCGTCGTCGGTTGCCGTCGAAAAGGCCGCGCGGCTCGCCTCTTTGTTCGGCTGTCCGCGTGTGCGGCGGAGGGTTGTGCGGCGCCCGCCGGCGACCTTCTCCGTTCCCACGCCGACGTCGCAAACAATTCCCGAGCCACCTTGTTCGCCCTCCCCGTGTCGCCGGCCCGAAGCGGGGTGCCGGAGCACCGTCGCGCCACAGTCGGGCTCCGTTGGCGAGCAAGCCCCCTCGCCCTTCTCGGCGATTGCGTCGGGCAATTTGAAATATCGGGTGGAGGTTCGGCGCGGCGCCTGTGCGGAACGGCTGGTGGTGGCGGCATGGGTGGGGCCGCCGCCGTTGTTGACGGCCGTCCGCGTCGCAATTGATTCCTTCTGGCCGCGCCTCGGGCTTTGCGTGCGGACGCCTCGCGCCCACAAATGCGACGCCGCTGACGTCGCACGGTCGTTGTGCCCCTCCCCGTTCCGCGAGAGGCTGGGCTGCCCTCGCAAAGGCGTCGGCTTCATGAACGGCGGTGTGAAGTCGGGCGCGCTGTTTGGAGAGCGGGGTGTTGGGGTCCGACGCCGTCATGAGCTGCGTCCGGAATGCCTGCAGTAAGGTCCGGCCAAAATCCATGAAACGATCGGCGGGATCGCGCTCCGCTTCCAGCGCGCGCGCGCGTCCACAAAGCCAAACTGCCAAAGGCAAGTTGAGCCTGGCCGCCCGCCTGATGCCAATGATTGTGTGCGCCCCGGAGGCCGACAACGACTCCGGAAACGCCCTCATTCCACACACGTGCGGCCCGAGAAGTGGCGTCGAACGCGCGAAAACTTCGTTCCGCTTCTTCTTTGACAGAATGGGCGTCCGAGGGGAGGGTGTAAGAGGGCAAAGGCAATGGAGGGATAGAAACGCAGTCTCCCAAAATTGCCCTGGGACGAATGAGGAATAACCCACCGTCTCTCGTTTGCCGGGCTTCGTCGGGCCGTGCGTGGCGGCGCGCCCCCAACCACCAAACGACGCGTTGGACGCTGCGGTTGTTTGGTGACGCCATCTCCGGCCGTATTTTGACACGTGACAGGTCCATCTGCCGGGCCTCTCCGAGAGGTGGGAGCTTCTTCCCTGCCCGCCGTCTCCGCCTCCCGCGCGGCTCGCTGCGCTTCTCTGGCGCCAGCGCGCGCCTCTCGTTCCTGTAGTCGGGCGCGGGTCGCCACCAGCTGCTGTTCGCGTCCGGCGACCGCGATGTCAGCTTCGCGCGCCGATAGGCTACTATGCGCCTCTTCCGCCCGCGTGTGAAGCTCGGTGTTTCGATCCCGCGCGCCCGCGATGGCATAGGCGTGGCCCGTGCCCCAGCGCTCCCCTTCCGCAAGGATGGGCCCTCGATGGGCCCCCAACTCCCGGGCCGCGCCCGCACGATGGGCAGGAGCGATCGGGTCTCAAAATTTGGTACTGGGGGCGCCCGGAGATTCGCAACATGTCCTGTAAGGCTCGAACCCGCCCAGGGTTTGGTGGTGGGTCCCGAAATCCATGCGCAAGTCTGTCGTTGAGGCGGCCGCGGTTAACGTCGCATCCGACTTCCCGGTTTCATCAATGAAGGTGAGCTGCGCCTGGGCAGCGCCATGTTGGCGTACCAATTCTGAATGTCGGGCGCCAATATCGCTCCACTCGGAGGCCGTTTAATAGGAAACAACGCCATTTCCTTAAGCCAACCTCGCTGTGTCTGTGAATTAAAAAAAAATAGAATAATATTCTGTGCCGCTGGCGGTATCCTGCAATTATCTGTTTAAACCAAACAAGACAGGGAAAAAGGGGGTAACGCAGAGGCAGCTAAATGCCCAAACGATTTCTTCCGATTAACCACAAATACATTTTTTGACCGCACAAGTTACCTTTTGCACTCAGAATATAATCGCTTACAAAGCGGCGGGCTTTGGGGTCCCCCGAACAAAAGACGCTGCCGCGATGTGGCGAATGAAAAGGGTGTGGGTGGGACAGCGAGATAAAAATAAATAAAAGTAAAAACAGGCACAAACAACAAAAACTCAAACCAGCAATGAAGCATAATGAGCGCCATCCGCCCACCAAACGATTAGCGATCCGCCGGCCCGCGACACCCCAAACCCGCGAACAAACGTTAAAAAAAGAACTTTCACACAATAAA